TCTCTCTCTCTCTCACACACACACACACACACACACTCACTCAGTCAGTCAGTCACTCATACATTGATGTTGAGAGTGACGTAAGCGCGTGCGGAAAGACACGCAGTGTTATGTAGTGAATAGGAATGCAGTTTCTGATGAAATGACATTGAATTACAAATAATAGCGAAGAAAGCATTAGAAAAGTGAATAACAAGTGATAGCAATAGCAATAGCGAGTGAATCATACATATGATTGCGAAACTGTTTGGCAAAGTCTGTGTACGGGATGCGAATCACAATAACATTAATTTAAATGTATAACATAAATGTTTAAAATAAATGTTTATAATATATATTCAAATCTCATTGATTGAAAACAAAGTGAAATAAACAATGTCAAATTACTAGCATTTTGTGCGTGAATTAATTTTTTATTCCCAATTGTGACCAGTATCATTTATGTGACACAATGCCCGGCTACGATCCGAACCGGTTTGTGGGACTCAACGAGTCGGAGAAGCAGGAGTACACGTGCGGCATATGTCTGGACATATTTGGCGATCCCGTGGACACCAAATGCTGCGGACAGACATTTTGTAGACCCTGTATAGAGGGTGCGCTCAGAGTTAATAGTGTCTGTCCGCTGGATAGGAGGCCATTAAACATTGGTGATTTACAAAATACATCAAGGTAGAATATGTTGTTTATTATATTTAAGAAACTTAACAGTAGAATGTTGCACTAGCCACAAAATTGTTTGTAAGTAAATATTAATTATATCAGCAAGAGTCTTACTATTTTAAATTAAAAAGTATTATAATTTATAAATATTTTGAGGATATCTCAGCTATCTAGTTATATAAGTTGTAATATAAACTATAATATCAATAAGTAATATCGCTGGCAATAATTTAACTTAATTGTAAGATTATAGACACTTTTCCTGAATGCAGCTTGCATACATTTATTAGAAATTATTTCTAATGAGATATCAAAGTTTTAATATAAAAAATATATAAATAATTAACGTTTGTCTTTAGGGTTTTAAAAAATATCCTTGGCAAACTTAAGATTCATTGCGACTATAAAGAAAATGGGTGCACCCAAATTATTCAACTGGATCATTTAGCGAATCATGTCAAAAATTGTCAATATAAGCCATGTATGCCTCAAACATCTCTAGAAACCGGCTTAAACTTTGAACCTAGTGCCACCAGGTTAACCTGCTTAGAACCAAACATTGAACAGGATACTTTATTGCCTATAACTGTGGTGTCGGCCAAAAGTCATTACAGACTGATGTCTCTGGAGAACAAGAGAAGTCTATACAAGTGTGGCAATGGATACAAGACGTTGGCGGACATCCCGTCGTGGAACCTATACTCCCAACACAACGGCATTATTCACAACCGGTTCGTGACGTCTGCCTTTCCCTACAACTATATAATCAACGATAAGGTGTCGGTCTTTGTTGGCGACATCACTGCTCTGGAAGTGGACGCCATTGTCAACTCAGCCAATGAATACCTCCGAGGAGGCGGAGGGGGTCTGTAAAACAATCTCTCTTTCTTTCTCAACAAATAAAACGGATTTTGATGGTTACCATAAATATCGTGCCACTAAACTGTGTCTCACATGCTTTCACGCCATTGTGTGGTCTGTAATACCTACACTGTATGACGACCAAACTGCGGACATGTTCAGTCAGTTTGTTGACTAGAGTGGAGGTAGTGATGACAGCAAACTGACAGCACATGTGCGCTGTTGGTGTCAAACAGTATGAAGTATTAAAGACCACAAAATAGTGTGAAAGCACGTGAGATACAGTTTAGTGGCACGAAATTTATGGTATCCATTAAAATATGTTTTATTGAGAGTTNAGAGAGAGAGAGAGAGAGAGAGTTTTATTTAAAAGTATTAAATAATTAAATATGAATTCAAAACTGTATTGAATTTAACATATACTTTATATACTTGTAAATTAAAATGACATTTTATGATAATTTTATATAATATTAGACATATTTTAAAACTGATAATTATTACTTGTGGTTATATATTTGTTATGATTACTAAAATGTTTTATCTAAAACGAGAATTATAAAAATTATAAAATCAAACTGTAATAATAAACATGATGTCATCATTTAAAAGATATATATTTTTTCGACACTGATTAATTATTCATTGATTTTTTATTGTTATCATTTCAAATTATTAAAATCAAAATCATAATCTAGTGAATATTTAAACAATTATTAAAAATTTTATATTTTGCTTTACAAATTTAATTTATTTAAATAATGAGTGCATTATTTGCGGCAACATTTGCGGCACAGAATTGTCTCAATCGGTCGACCGCTAGGTTCGCGGCACTCGATTCGGTCAACTGCTCGGCGATGTTCACAAATGCGTGCATTTTGCCCAACGCATAGGTATTCTGTACGTAAAAACAGTTATAATAAGTTTATAAACAAGATAATTTTTAATATAATTATGCCATACCTGTCCCAGGTTGTAGCAATGTTCGTGGAAGGTATCCACAAGTTGTCGATAGCCAGCAAAGTTATTCAACTCGAGTTTCTCATTAAGTACAACATTGACATCAACACCGGGTATATCAGCGATGCTATTGACGTATTGCACGATCTGTTTGTCCAACATTTGTCTACCGGCTAAGAGAGCATTCAGTTCAGCCACGTACCTTTAAATTAACAAAATACAAATTATTTAGATTTTTTTTATTATACTAGGTCACTTAGTAAAAATGTAAAAATACTTACTGTTGTTTTTCATCAGCGTCATTTGCGGACTCAATTTGGTGTTTCAATATATTTATCGGTACGTCACGTGATGGTGAGAAACCGGTAACTGGTCTCGCCACAGAGTTAGCAAGCGCCTTTTTATCACCTAGTCAATTAAATAATAAATATTATTAAACTTTACTCAAATATTACTTGATTACTAATATAACTTACCCTGGTACTGGGCAATATGATCCTTGTTTGCCAAGGTGAGATCACCGTATTGTTGAGCGTGTTGCGAATACTGACCACCGTCCATGGTGAAATTATTGTGAATCTTAATATACTCGTACTGTTCCTCCAGGGTCTCTTTATTAGGATCGTTGGTGACGGTGTTGTTTAGCCAGTTAACCGCGAACCAACCAGCTAGGTAAGTTTTGTACACTTTGGGCTCATGATTGCACGCCCACCCGGACTCCACGGTATTGGTGGCGGTGATGGCGAACGCATTGATATCAGCGGGTAATAGTTTTTCAAACATTGTGCCTGGTGAATAAGCATAATTTCAAAAATTAATTTAAATATAATAAAATATAATTTGAGAAAATATTATTTTAACATGTTTTATAATTTACCTGATTCGCAAGCTGACAAATAAAACACCAAGGTGGAGTAGCGTTTATCTTTGTGCATTTGGATAAGCTCCTTGTTCAAGTCAGTTGCGTGTAAGACTGAGTGCGGGAATGATACATAACCTAGATAAAATAATAATACAATTAGATTTTGCATAAAAACATATTTTTGTTAAGCATTTTAATTACCAGGTGCTCCATGGTCAGCGAAAAAGGCAAATATACGATCATTTGGTCCACTATTAACCACACGTTTGCCCGCTTTAGCCAATGTCTCGTCACCTCTGAGTACGGCCAAGAAGTTCTAGCAAGGTTAATTATAAATCTTATTAATTATGAAATTTTAACAATATTAATTTTCCTAATAACTTTATCAAACCCTAATCAAAACATTTATCAAAATATATTATATGTTTGTATACCTCTGGTGTAACTTCTTTGCCAACGAAGTCCTTGGGTACTCCATGATAGACATCATCACCACCCTCCTCATAGATAACGGTGCCTTTATGAGGGTTATTTACGCTGTTAGCCATGTCGTCGTAGTGTAAAACTATGACATTTTCGGCGGGGATTCCGGCATTGCGAACCACTTGGTAAGCGTGGTATACGTCAGCCTATTATAGTAATAATATAATATATAAATACTTTATGAAATGTGTGGACATTTAATTATAAGAATATTCTATATACTAATTATAAGTTTACATCTGAAGGTAATTAACTTGTTAAAAAATATTTTTTTAGCAGAGTGTTTATTTTATTTATTACAGGTGCTATATTTTCTGATAAATAAATAAATAAATATTACTTATAAAAATAAATAACATCCTCAATTAGTTTAATAGATAATAAATTTCAAGTTATATCACAAGACCTACCCTGAGCTAAATGGTTAGAGTATGTTATGAATACATTGATTATATTATTATGTCATGATAATATTAAGTGGTCTAGTTCAATCACCAAATGTTTCAAGA